TTTAAAGTGTCACCTGAAAGTGAGAACAGGTGTTCATATGGCACTTTTGTAGCCGGCATTGCAAGGTATTTACGTGCCAGATATGCTAAACATTCATATGCCCCTTCATGCTTCGTCCCCTATTCCAGAGGATGTGCTTCCATGCTGATGATGCTCGTAAAAAAAAAAAAAGTGTTAATAAAATTTGTGATTGAACTCCCTGGGGGAGAATTGTATGTCTTCTGCTCTGTTTTGCCATATATTTCATGTTATAGTATGCCATATATAACATGTTATCGATGATGACCTAGCACATTTTGTTCGTTTTAAGAACACTTTCACGGCAGAATTGAAGGTATCAATGTGAGATTTCTAAAGATAGGTACAGCACAAGACCCAAGGTTTAAGTATCTGCAGTTCCTTCCAAAATCTGAGACGGATGAGGTGTGGAGCATGGTTTCAGAAGTCTTAAAAGAGCAACATTCTGATGTGGAAACTACAGAATCTGAACCACCAAAAAAGAAAATCAACCTTGTGCTGGTGACATCTGACTCAGATGATGAAAATGAACATGCATTGGTCCACACTGCTTTGGATTGTTATCAAGCAGAACCTGTCATCAGCATGGACGCATGTCCCCTGGAATGGTGGTTGAAGCATGAAGGGACATATGAATCTTTAGTGCATCTGTCACGTAAATATCTTGCGACGCTGGCTACAGCAGTGCCATGCGAACGCCTGTTCTCACTTTCAGGTGACACTGGAAACAAGAAGTGGGCAGCATTATCTCCTGCAAATGTAAACAAACTTGTTTGTCTGAGCGATTGGCTGAACAAGAAGCAGGACTGAGTGGACTTGTAGGCTTCAAAGTTTTACATTGTTTTCTTTTTGAATGCAGTTTTTTTGTATATAATTTGTAAGTTCAACTTTCATGATAAAGAGATTGCACTACAGTACTTGTAATGGGGGAACTGAAAAATAGTATTTCTTTTGTTTTTTACAGTGCAAATATTTGTAATAAAAATAAATATAAAGTGAGCACTGTATACTTGTATTCTCTGTTGTAATTGAGATCAATATATTTGAAAATGTAGGAGACATCAAAAATATTTAAATAAATGGCATTCTATTTTTGTTTAACGGCGCGATTAATCACACAATACATCTTTTTAATCTCTTGACAGCTCTAAAAGAACCAAAAGTGTCTGACTTCCTACCTTGAGCAGTGTAAGATTCTTGAATTTGTTTGTTTGGAATTGGTAGGAATGGATCCTTGATTGATTTTACAGGCCACTGGTGCCCATTGGAACAGCAGGAATTGAGAAATCTATGAGACACCTTCCATCGGGAGGTGGGTGAAAAAGAAATGAGGTATGGGTGAGGGATTGGTGTTGAGGGGAAGGGGAGACACGCCATGGTAAGAAGCCGAGTCCCCCTATTACTTACAAATAGTGAGAAAGGGGTCGGTGCTGTTATGTTTACCCGGGTGCTGTCTATAGATCCCGTTTACAGGGTGTGCATGTGCTTCATCTTTCATATCAGCCTCTGGCTCCTAAGTATCTAAAACCTGAAGCTGTAACCTACCCCCAGCTGCTGAAAGAAAGGAGTTTTGTGTCTTCGCCCTACTCAAGAGCTTGTATGCAAAACGAAGGAAAGAGTTCTCTGCTACTCCTTCAGCCTCCAATGTTCGGCTCCAACTTCCCCATAAATAACTCCAGTGCACACTCCTGCTTGCCCATAGCCAGCAACAGTGGCCAATAGGTTCTAAATAACAGCAATGAAATTGACTAGAGTCTTGTTAATTAAACATTGCCGCTTAGAAATACGTCCACACCATGAAGACTACAATCTTTTGCTGGTGTACTGATGTTGGTCAGGGGCGTGAAGAGGTGTGATTTGTGGCAGTGTGACAGGCGTTGGTCGGTCCTCTGAGCCCCTAGGGGCGATGGAGAGCTATGGTCTCTGGGGCAGGCCTCAGCCACACCTTCCGGGTGCTGGGGAATTAGCGGGGAAGGTGTGCCAGCACGAGTCAGTAGCGCGCCCCTCGGGCAGAGGAGCGCCGGGGTAGGGGAACGCAGGCCCACCCAACTCCACTGCGTTCCAGCCCAGGGCCCCGACAGTGGCGGGAGGCGAAAGTCCCGCCGCTGGGTCAGCGGGGCCGTCCGCACCCGCTGGCCAAACACACTCACCCCACGGTGTAGTTCGGCCCCTGGGCTAGTTTTCCTACCCGGTCTCTCAGGCGGGCCGCTACGGTCCCTCCATCTCTTCCGGGTATTCCGCTGCGGGCCACTCCGGTCCCTCCATCTCCCCCGGGTATTCCGCTACGGGCCACTCCGGTCCTTCCATCTCCCCCGGGTATTCCGCTACGGGCCACTCCGGTCCCTCCATCTCCCCCGGGTATTCCGCTGCGGGCCACTCCGGTCCCTCCATCTCCCCCGGGTATTCCGCTACGGGCCACTCCGGTCCCTCCATCTCCCCCGGGTATTCCGCTGCGGGCCACTCCGGTCCCTCCATCTCCCCCGGGTATTCCGCTACGGGCCACTCCGGTCCTTCCATCTCCCCCGGGTATTCCGCTACGGGCCACTCCGGTCCCTCCATCTCCCCCGGGTATTCCGCTGCGGGCCACTCCGGTCCTTCCATCTCCCCCGGGTATTCCGCTACGGGCCACTCCGGTCCTTCCATCTCCCCCGGGTATTCCGCTACGGGCCACTCCGGTCCCTCCATCTCCCCGGGTATTCCGCTACGGGCCACTCCGGTCCTTCCATCTCCCCCGGGTATTCCGCTACGGGCCACTCCGGTCCTTCCATCTCCCCCGGGTATTCCGCTACGGGCCACTCCGGTCCTTCCATCTCCCCCGGGTATTCCGCTACGGGCCACTCCGGTCCCTCCATCTCCCCCGGGCATTCCGCTGCGGGCCACTCCGGTCCCTCCATCTCCCCCGAGTATTCCGCTACGGGCCACTCCGGTCCCTCCATCTCCCCCGGGTATTCCGCTGCGGGCCACTCCGGTCCCTCCATCTCCCCCGGGTATTCCGCTACGGGCCACTCCGGTCCTTCCATCTCCCCCGGGTATTCCGCTACGGGCCACTCCGGTCCTTCCATCTCCCCCGGGTATTCCGCTGCGGGCCACTCCGGTCCTTCCATCTCCCCCGGGTATTCCGCTGCGGGCCACTCCGGTCCCTCCATCTCCCCCGGGTATTCCGCTACGGGCCACTCCGGTCCCTCCATCTCCCCCGGGTATTCCGCTACGGGCCACTCCGGTCCCTCCATCTCCCCCGGGTATTCCGCTACGGGCCACTCCGGTCCCTCCATCTCCCCCGGGTATTCCGCTGACGGGCCACTCCGGTCCCTCCATCTCCCCCGGGTATTCCGCTGCGGGCCACTCCGGTCCCTCCATCTCGTCCAGGTATTCCGCTACGGGCCAACCCCGCTCCCCCTCGGTATCGGACTCCCGCTGGCCCGGGCTGCAGTCAGGCCCCTCCAGGTCCTCTGGGTATTCAGCGGCGGGCAGCCCTGGTTGCCACAGGCCTTCCTCCCGGTCAGGCTCCTCCTTGCCCAGGGCTTCGCCTGGGTCAGCAGCAGGATCGCGAGGGAACAGCCAACAGCCTGTGTCTGTCTCCCTCCCTGGTGCTCTCTTCACTGGGCAGAGGGCCCCGCCCTTTGTACTTCCTGTCCCACCCTTCCCCTTCCGGGGATTGGCGGAAGCTTGGCCTGGCCCTGCCCACTCAGGCTGCAAGGGTGGCTCTTTACCCTCTGGTTCAGAGGGGAGCCACCCTGGCTCCCTACAGGCAGACATAGCAGTGCTGGGAAAAGCCTTTATTGTAGATGCAGATAGACTGGTAAAACTGTCCTTTTGCTGTTCTAGCTTATGCTTAGGGGGGCTGGAATGAATTATAGTGGCACAAGCACTGGTTTGATGGTATAAGCTGTGTCCATACTAGGGTGACGAGATGTCCTGATTTTATAGGGACAGGCCCAATATTTGGGGCTTTTTCTTTTATAGGCACCTCTGACTCCCGCATCCCGTCCTGATTTTTCACACTTGCTATCTGGTCACCCTAGTCCACGCTAGGAGTGCTTTGCTGGTATAGTATAGCTATACTGGCAAAGGATTCCAAGTATAAACCTGGCTGAAGTTGCACCAATTTCAAACCAGTTTCTAAACTGATTTAAAATGGCACAGTTTTAAGAAATAGCATCTGGATGCTAGATGGATGCAGTTTTGCTATTTATACCACCGTTTACATGACTGCTGAACTTGAACCATCATCTGTCTTCTCCATATCTGATCTCTGCATACTGCACAGAGGTGGAGAAGTTTAGTTAATATGTGCAAAGTGCTTTGAGATCCTCAAAGGAATGGTACCTCAGAAGTGAAAAGTAGTGTGACTGTTTTGTGATCATTAGTGCATTTAGTCACATTTCTTAACAATGCAATAATCAAATAGCCCTCTAACGAGCAAACCCGAGATTCTCCTCCCCACCTGCACTTTCCGTTCAGCTATTGGTTTGATATCTGGTCTTTCTGCTTTGAGCTAAGTCCCATTTACCTAGTATCATATTTATATGATCTAAAGCTTATGCTTTGTGGTTGCCACAGAAGCAGAATAAAGTTACATTACTTCTTTGAACAGCTAGTTGTCACAGGGTGTGTGTTTTTTCTCTACCACAAAATTGCCACCTCAGTAGATTATATAAAGAGACAGGAGGTCAGAAATCCTATGAATTTGCTGGAAATTGTTACATGGTTACAATGTAGAGGGTGGAGACTGCAGAAGGTTCAACTATTGATGCTCCAGAGTCGAGACCAGAAACTCTTACATTCCAGGCTGATCTTTGTTGCCCTTTCTGTGGTTCCCATTTGAAAGGACTTGTTCTAGTTCATAGGTTGACTTTCTTTTCTGCTAGTCATATATCTAGAGGCACCCCCAAATTTGCTTCTGTGCTGAGAGAAGAAATCTTCGTGAAGCGTGGAGAGTTGTTGGCTTAGTTCCTTGAACCTGTTTGTTTGCTTTTCCTTAGATTCCTTAGAAGGAGAGCTTGGACGGCATGCAAAGTTGTGAAACATCTTCAGACAGCACTGATGATCCTCTTAGTAGTGGCCTACGGAGAAAACGACAGCCTCGAATAGTAGTTATTGGTGCTGGCCTTGCGGGCCTGTCAGCTACAAAATCTCTCCTGGAAAACGGTTTCACGGATGTAACAATCCTTGAGGCATCTGACAGAATTGGAGGCAGAGTGCAAAGTGTCAGACTTGGTAAGGAAAATGTTTTTGTACCGTTGTATCAGACTCTCTCGTCTCACACTTCCGGCAAGATTTTGTATTATTACGAGGGTTAATTTGTTAGATATCCTCTTAAAGCTATTTCCTGGTCATTTGCACCTGCAAATGGGTATTTTAGCATGCAATTACCCGGCTTCTGGGTGCAATGGGTTATTGTTCATGTGTGGGGCACAGAGCTTCCCAAGCATTCAGAGCTTTAGATGAAAAGCTCTGCAGAAGTGTAAAGTATTATTGTGAAGTGAAGGTGTTGGTGATCAATTGGCTTTATAAACAGAGTTCAGCGTGGCTGAGGGTGGGGAAGGGTATTTTTCTCCAGTAACTTGAATGTGTGAACTAGGAAGTCCCATCCTCCCCAGACCAGCCAGGACTAGCAGCTGAGCCTGGCACAGAGTAGGGAGCCGGGTCTTCCCCAGTCCCACCCCTTACCCCACAGTGATTTACCTCTCTGCTGGCTGCCCTGGGCACCTGAAACATACTGCTGGGGAGAGTCGCATGACCGCTTTTGTGGCTTCCCTTTGCTGCCCCGTCAGAAAGTCATTTTAATACGGGGAGGCAAAGAAATCTGCGGGGGACATACATTCTGCGCATGCACAGTGGCACAGAATTCCCCGACAGGAGTAACATTAACACTACCAACTGCCCTGTCTTCATTAGGCATTTGCTTCACATTACTTACCATGAATTAGCTAACGTGGGATAGGAATACGAATTCTAATCTGATCTCATCCCAGCCCAGGTAGACGGACATGCACTAGCTCTACTCCAGCTAGCATGCTAAAAGTAGCAGCATGGATGGTGTGGCTTGGGCGGCAGCCCAGGCTAGCCACCTGAGTGCCAAGCCAGGGGGTCAGGTAGCCTTGCCCTCAGGTGACTAGCTCGTGCCGCAATGTCCACACTGCTATTTTTAGTGTTCTAGCTCAGGCAGAGGTAGCGTGTCTGTCTGCTCGGCCTGGGTGATTCACTCCCAGCTGCAGTGTATGTGTACCCCAAGATACCTACGTTCTGTGGTCAGCAGATTACTGAATGTTCTTAGCCAAGAGCAAAGGTTGGATGCCATAGGAGAAAACTTCCTCTTCCCCTGCACAGCATTTGGGGCTGGGTCAGACCTTCCCCCAGCTGCAGGAAGCTCTGTAAACTACACCCCACCACTTCCTGTACCCATTTCTCTTCAGCTGCAGGGGGAGGGATCCCTGCACAGCTGCTGCTCCCCCATCCACCCAACCCCCATGCATCTGGACCCCCTCATACCCAGATCCTCCCGTCGATCCTCACCCCCTGCGTTCAGAACCTCCCTGATAAGCCCCACTTGCCCTGCACCTGAACCACCCCGATGAGCCACCGCATCTAGATCCCCACCGCACTGAGCCCCAATCAGTTGCACCTGGATTCCCACCCCACTGAGCCCCACCCCCAAACAACTGGACCCCCCACTGAGTTCCCTAAACCCAGACCCCCTGCCTAGCTCTATCCCCCACACACACAGACCCCCCCACCGGCTGAGCCCCAACCACCTTCACCTGGACCACCCTGCAGAGTCCCATTACCATTGTGCCCAAAAAACCCCAACAAGGCCCAGTGCATCCAGATCCCCCCACTGAGCCACCTGCACCCTGATTGTCCCACACAGAACCCTCTCAATCCACACCTGGATCCCCCCACACTAAGCCTCTCCACACTTGGATCCTGCCTGTCCACACCTGGTGCAACTGGCATGGAGGGGGGGTGATGTTCCTGGGGCAGGTCCAGTCCTCATGCTGTGTCAGGGTTGGGTGCAGCCTCACTGCTGAGTCCGTTTCCCAGGGGTGGGGGTGCTGCAGGATGGTCTCCCACCTTCGTGCAACCAGTGGCCTGTGCTTCCCAATGCCATGCTGGAGCCTCCACATTTATTCAACAAATAAAATTTGCAGAATTTTAAAATATCTTGCGCAGAATTTTTAATTTTTTGGTGCAAAATGCCCCCAGGAGTATAACGTGTATTAGCTAGTTGAGGTAAAACTTAGGCTCCAAATTGCCTGTCTTCACTAGGATTTTTCCTTGTGTTAGTTACCATGTGTTAGCTAACATGAGGCAAGAACACCCCTTTCTTCCTAGAGAAGGCAAGGCCACAGAGTAACATAGTGAACAGGGAAGGCAAAATTAAGCCCTATATTAGTACAGTACAAAAAATTCCACAGGGAAAATATTGGTCCTTTAATATTCCAGACCTTTAACACTCCCCTCCACTCACATGCATGATCAAGGATATCTTGGACACAGCCCACAGGGAGTAAATGACACATTTTCCATTCTAATCTCTGTGCCAAGTCTCGCCAGCATTTGAAGTGCCCTATTCAGACTCCAGAGTTTAGATTTGTCAAATAGCCTTTTCATTCATTTCCCTTCTGAAAGGTCACAGGCACTCATGTTTATTTACTGTGGTGAGTTTATAGAGTAAAATACAGTAAGTGACGTAAGGCTGGGCTAAATAAAGTGAAAGAAGACCAGCTAGAGGCCCAAGTTAATGAATACAGAGAACCTGGTCAAAAATTAAACTAGTTAGTTGGCATTAGGGAGGTGATTCCATAAGACCCACGAGGTTCATTTACCTACTGGTAGCACAGAATGTACCTTCTTGTCTAATGTAGATGCACCTGTGAGTATCCCCTTTGCTTCTGTACAGGAGCAAGGCTGCCAGATTCTGGCTCAGAGGGCCTTTCATCTCCGGATCTCCAGTCTCTTTGAAAACATTCCTCATGGTTTAAATATTCAAAGCCACATCCTTAGCTGGTATAAACTGGTTTAGGTTTGACTTCACTGGAGTCACGCCTGTGTGTACCAGCTGGTGATCTGGCCCTCTGTATTTGAGGGCATATTGTTCCTGGTGGAGGGTTCTTGGCTGTTGAATTCTTTGCTACTGGTGATCAGGAGTAGCTCAAGTTTTCCTCCTATTAGGTCAGCTTGCAAGGCCTTTATACGCAGCCCCTCCTCCTCAGTGACAAAGCGCAGGCGTGGCCTAGTGATCTCTTCCTTGGGGTATGTCTTCACTGCAGAGGTAACTCAGTGTTTTCTTTAGTGTTGCCCCTAACCCCCCTCGTGTCCACACACAAAGCCCTCTCATCCGAGGTTGGTAGTTCTTTAAACCTGGGCTAGCTGGCCTGACTGGAGGTGTAGGCTAGAACTTGGGTACCACTTTCACTTGAGCGGGTAGCCCACCCATTTGACAATGAGGATGCAAGCTAAACCATTCAATTGCTGATAGTCCTCCAGTGCCTTCCCACAATTCCCCTCATGTTCTCTGAAGCACAGACAAGTTTTTCCATAAGTCCATTGGGAAAGAATCAGAGCAGCTCAGCTTTCTGCAGCACAAAAACTCATGGGATATGCCCCCTGAAGTCCTAGTGACACATGCAGGGGAGCATAGCACCAGTTAGGACACAGGCTTTGCAGTGTGTTTGCTCGCACCTGGGCTAGGCTAAGCTGTGTGCATAGATCCGGGTGCTGATAACTCAGGTAATCTGCAGTGAAGACATACCCTTGAAGACAATTACTTAAGGTCTAAATTCAGATACCCTTACTTAGTAGCTGCAGTTCCAATGAGACCACTCATGGAGTTAGTTGCAACTCAACATAGACAAGTTTTTCAGAATTCCACTCAGGGCAATAACAAAGAAGAGGTGGAGTGTTCTGCTTTGATTATATATATATGGCTTCTGCATTGGTCTGATATACACATAGTAACAGTCAGGTGCTGCATCACAGTGGTGCATGGGAAATACATATTATAGCTAAATATGTATGTTAATGGGAGCAGCAGACCTATTTTATGAGGACTGTATACTATTCGCTTACTAAGGACTTGTCTACACTTACCAGGGGATCGATGCTCGGCCATCAGTGCATCGGCAGTTGATTTAGCAGGTCTAGTGAGGACCTGCTAAATCAACTGCAGATCGCTCTCCCGTCGACTCCTGTACTCCACCAGATCGAGAAGAGTAAGGGGAATCGAGTAAGGGAGAGCGTTTCCTGTCAACATCCCATAGTATGGACCCCGCAGTAAGTAGGTATAAGCTACACAGCAACTTGAGTTATGCTAGTCACGTAACTCAAATTGTGTAGCTTAGATCGGTTTTTCCCTGTAGTGTAGACAAGGCCTTATTCAAATGAGATTGGTATTGGAACTACTTGATTTTTCAAGCCCTGAAGGGCCCTGGAACTAAATGGAGTATCTGTGTAAAAGAATATAATTAACTGTGTAAAATTATCTGTGTAAAAGAATATGATTAACTTCACACTTCTAAAGAATTTATCATGCTACTTACTTCAGGAAATAACTGGCTTATCTGCTTTGAGTAATGTCAGTTAATGAGTTTCTAAATATACAGGTGAGCTAGACTATTTTTAGTTTCCCTGTACGGTATTTAATTACATTCCTCACAACGCCTCCTCACAGGAGAAAATGAAAGGAAATGGCTTTTCCTTTTTTGTTTGTGCTGTGACAGTAAAATTTGGTAAAAATAAAGAAGAATATGCTAGTATTTTGTGCTACTTTAAAAAATGCTGATGATTGAAAGAAAAAGAGCAAGATTCTATTTGGAAATCAGTATTAATGCCAATTCATACTAGTGGAATGGGGACCACAGACTGACCTACATGTTTTATATACTATTCCTGCTAATAATCTTGTATGCTATGGATTGTATGAAGATCCCAGGTAATAAGATCACTGTCACTTCAAACCTGAAATATTTATGAGCACTGTACCATTGACTGCTGGTCTGAATCATTTCCACCAGACTGCATGCTCTATGGGTATGTTCAGAAGTTGCAATGCCTTAAATATTAACACATTTAGGCCCTGATTTTGCAAAGACTTGAGCACATGCTTTATGTGCCCATGTAAGTCTTTGCACATTCAGGGCCTTGACGGATAACTTCCACTGGCACTTTATTTACTTTTGAAATTGTTCTTGGCTTGGAAAACCAAATGTCTGGGGATTTGCTTTGAAATAGTGACTCATTTGTACAACTTGATAGCATCACTTCTAACAGTGAACCCACTGTAAATGTTAGCATACTTGGAATGGCATTTTTCAGAGTAGCAGCCGTGTTAGTCTGTATTCGCAAAAAGAAGAGGAGTACTTGTGGCACCTTAGAGACTAACTCTAAGGTGCCACAAGTACTCCTTTTCTTTTGGAATGGCGTTATGACTGAATTTACATGTTAAGCACTATGTGATGGTGTAATCCAGCGGTTCTCAAACTGTGGGTGGGGACCCCAAAGTGGGTCGCGACCAGTGATGAGCTGCCAAAATCTTAACAACGGGATCCCTCCTCACCCCACGAGGGGGTCGTTGCCCACCCCCGCCGCCCGGGACTCCTGCCCCATCCAGCCTCCCAGCATTTCCTGATGCCTGCCCCCCTGGACTCCTGCCCCATCCACCCCCCTCCCCTGTCCCCTGACTGCCCCCAGAACCGGGCAGGAGGGTCTTGTAGGCCATCATAGTGGGTGCCCACCCCACCCCTAAGAGCCAGAGGTACCTGCCAGGGGGCGAGGTGAGGAGTCCCGGAGGTGCTTACCTGGGGCAGCTCCCAGGAAGCATCCAGCGGGTCCCTCTGGTTCCTAGGGGCAGGGGAGCGTAGCTAGGAGGGGAGCGGCTGCTCCCCCACTGATCACATCAAAGTGGCACCTTAGACGCCGACTCCCTGGGTGCTCTGGGGCTGGAGCACCCACTGGGAAAATTGGTGGATGCAGAGCATCCACTGGCAGCTCCCCACCCTGCGCCTGGCCCCAGATCACCTCCGCTCCGCCTGTGCCTCCTCCCCTGAAAGCACCGCTCCGCTCTGCTTCTCCGCACCCCCCCGGCTTCCCACGAATCAACTGTTCAGTGGGAAGCCGGGGCAGGCTGAGAAGCAGGCAGCGGCTTCCCGCTCAGGCCCAGGGAGGTGGAGGTGAGCTGGGGCGGGGAGTGGTTCCCCTGCGGGCCCCCCCCCCCCCAGGTTACCTGCTGCAGCGTGGGCAACCCCCCTCGCACCCCCCTGCCCCAGCTCACCTGCGCATCCCTGGGCCTGAGCAGGAAGCCAGCTGATTCGCGGGAAGCCTGGGGGGGGCGGAGAAGTAGAGTGGGGAGGCGAATTCAGAGGAGGAGGCGGAGGTGGAGCGGAGGTGAGCTGGGGGTGGGGCGGGGAGCTGCCACCCACCAAATTTTCACCTTGAGTGCTCCAGGCCTGGAGCACCTATGGAGTCGGTGCCTAAGGCCCCACTTTTGGCCAGTTAAATTTAGAAGCCCTTTTAGAACTGGTTGTCCCTCGTGGAACAACCGGTTCTAAAAGGACTTCTAAATTTAACAACCGGTTCTAGCTCACCACTGGTCGCTACCCCATTTTAATGGGGTCACCAGGGCTGGCATTAGACTTGCTAGGGCCTGGGGCTGAAGCTGAAACCCAAGCCCCACCACCCGGGGCCAAAGCCCTACCCCCACCGCCTGGTGCAGTGGTGGAGCTCAGGTTACAGGCCCCTTGCCCGGGGCTGAAGCCCTTGGGCTGCACTTTGGCCCTCCTACTCGGGGCAGTGGGGCTGGGCTTTGGCTTTGCCCCTGAACCCCACCTGGGACAGTGGGGCTCGGGCGAGCTCAGGCTTCAGTTCCCTGTCCTGGAGTTGTGTAGTAATTTTTGTTGTCAGGAGAGTGTTGCGGTGCAGTGATGTTTGAGAACCCCTGGTGTAATCAATTGCACGATTCTTATCTTCTTCAGTAGGAAGTTATTGAGAGTGAAAACATCTAGGCTAGTAGCTAACCTGCTAATTCCTAATAAAATGTCCACGGAAACTGCAAGACATGCTGCATTGCATGGGGTTGACCATGATATTAAAGGGACAGTGTTGGGTCAAATTTAGTCCAAACTTTTGTTTTTGTACAAGTGAGCTTTTACAAACCCTAACTGTAATAAGAAATAATCCCATAAATTAAGATAAAATCCTCTAGAAATAGTGTTTCTTTTTAACCTAATAAATATCCCCCTGTGTTGTTATCAGCTTAAATTTTACATAATTGGGCTAATACGTGAGAGTCTGAGGGCAAAACTGATGAGACCTAGACTATAGAGAACCGTGTAACTGACCAATCAGTTTGCATTGTCCAAACTGAGAAATGCAAAAAGCAAACAAACAGCACAGGTAGTGAAAAATAAATGATATTTTTTAATGTGACAGTGCATCTTTTTAAAGAAATCTTTCAAAGGCACAAATAATAAAATATGATCTAATTTTACCTTATGGATATGCAGGTAGCTTGAGTCCTTTTGGTAAACAACACACATTTTTAATTGCAGAAGAAAGCTTTCCTGCATGCTAAAGTAAGCAGCCTCAGGCTGCCATTACAGGACAGTCTCAGTCTTTCCTGAATTCGTCTGCTTTAGTGGAACAGATGCCTTTTTGCTCTGTACTTGAATAACAATCACCTTCCCTCCCCTTCCCTCAGACTAAATTTGATGTTTGAAGGCTTTGGGTGGCCTACCGATGCTCTTATTCTTTCCCTACCACTTCTTCAATATTTATGTAAGTATTCATTTATATTCTGTTTGCAGTTGTACAGTACAGATAGCCAACTCCTCTTTTCGTCCCCTAACCCCTCACACTTTCTGAGCAAGAGAGATCAATACACCCTCTGGTGCACTAAATTCTAATGATGTTCATAGGACAGACACCATTGAATTCTGCTGTTACACTGCTCAGAATCTGATACCAGGATATATAAAATACTCACATAGCTCTTTTGAAGATATAAAGCACTGTACAGAGGTCCTTCTAGCATCCTTGTGGTAGGTAAACGAATAGTATTCCTATTTTATAGGTGGGAAGGATGAAGTAGAGAGGCTAAGTGGCACCTGTTGAGCTAGTGACAATCATGGATTAGGACCTGGAGTTAGGGCTTCTGCATTGTTCTTGAACTATTAGAGACCATTGCTGCTGCATACCTTGGAATCTCTTTAGGGAGCACCCTTCTTGTGATTGATCCCCTTTTGTAGCACTGTATGACACTTGTTGTGCAGAGACCTAGGATAAACAAACATTAGTATGACACTTAAACCTGTCCTTAAGTGAAAGCACTTCTTCAATTCTTCAGGTTTCAGAGTAACAGCCGTGTTAGTCTGTATTCGCAAAAAGAAAAGGAGTACTAGTGGCACCTTAGAGACTAACCAATTTATTTGAGCATAAGCATCCGATGAAGTGAGCTGTAGCTCACGAAAGCTTATGCTCAAATAAATTGGTTAGTCTCTAAGGTGCCACTAGTACTCCTTTTCTTTCTTCAATTCTTCAGTGTTGTTTTTTTGATGATGTGGCATCATTGGGTAAATGTCCTATTTGTGCTCTATTTACTGCTCTTCATGTGTAGACTGGGGTGTGACATACAACATCTCTTTTTAAACGAGTTCATCGTATTGGTCTAATTGGATTGTTCCCCCCTAGAGAACGCCACTTTTGAACTGGGAGCTACGTGGATCCATGGTTCAAATGGAAACCCAGTCTATCATCTAGCAGAAGACAATGGCTTACTTGAAGAGACTACTGATGGTGAGAGAAGTGTTGGCCGTATCAGTCTTTACTCCAAGAATGGGGTGGCTTATCACCTTACCAACAATGGGCAGAGGATTCCGAAAGATGTGGTTGAAGAATTCAGTGATTTATACAACGAGGTTGGTATTTAGCAGTCCCTTCCAGTTGTACATTGGTCTGAAAACCACTAGACACTTGTCAGTGCTGAGACAGTAGAAAAAAAATTTTAATGCCTTCAGTTTCTCTACTTAAAATAAGTTTTGGATTTTTTAAAACCAATATGGTGCTTTCTGCTTAATTCCGTCACCGGTTAATGTGACGGAGCTCCTGGAACCAAATCACACCCTAGAAGAATGCCCCTTCTGTCCTGCCTTATCATTAGTTCTGATCCCTTCTAGCAAATATTGTGGGATAATTTAATCAATAGCTGTAGACTTGCCACTTAGCTAATAATAAGGAAGGGGCCCAAATGAGGCAGAACATAATAACTTAGGAAGACTCAACTAAAAGATGTGGCAGTGAGACATTATTATTGACATTATAACTACTACACTATGCTGTGTAAGTTATGACATTCATCCTGATATGAATTACAAGCTCGATTTCATCACAGGTGCTGTGACAAATGTTACAAGGATTAAATGTCATTTCTCTTTTGGAGAGAGCTTTCATTTTTATGGTTTGGAAGCTACTTGTAATGTTCATTCCTCTATCTTAAATGGTTTTCTCCAAAGATCTATGTAAAACAGTGCCTAAGCTCATGATAGAGACTCCAGACCAAGGAAAAATAGAAATGAAAGCACTAAAAACATTAATAAATAGAAAATGGCGGAATAAAAGTGGAAATACAGGTTCAGTAATGAAACGTGTCCTAAGCAAATACCCAAGGAAAAAGTGATCTTCGGTTTCCTAGATAGGTAGGGTCAGTCTCACTTTGGTGTAAATGGGTACCATTCCATTGATTCTAGTGGAGTGATGCCTGCTTCTGCTCAGGGTGAATGTGGTCCCTGATACTTAATTAATGGTTGAACAGATGTAAAATGGCATTACTTTTGTACTTTTATAATACCAAGACTTAGACTTAAACAATGCTAAAACAGCTTGCCAGGTTTCACTCTAAGTATTCTCCTGATTTGTTTCCTCTATTTCTAATTATATTTGGGTGAAAGGCCAATATAAAATTTCCCCAATCAAAATGCTCTCAGAGTGGGTTACATAAAATGGGGGTGGAGGGTGGGGAATCATCCTTGCCAAGTTGTAACCATTTGTAGAGCCCTCAAAGTTTGCAACTGGATCTGAACTTCACCAACACTTGTTTGGGTAAATCTTTTTTTATAATGTCACACTCTGGGATCAGCTGGACATCGTATAATATATATTTAAAAATATGCACATGGATATTCAAACCAACATTGGTAAAATCCTTCACCAGAGGCCATTAAGGAAACAATAGTCATGGGGGGGAGAGGTAAAGTGCTATCATGGATCAGAGACAGAGTGGAAATGCTGATTTTCAACATAGAAAGAAGTTTACCATTGTGCCAGGACTAGGGCTAATGAATACATAGCCTATAATTAATTGGGTTAATAGAGAGGATTGTGGGGAACATCCAAGGGGTCTAGTTAAAATAGGCAATTGGGCAACACAGCGGCAGATGAAATCCCACTTGGACAAGTGCAGGGTGGTACACTTTGGCAGGAATAGATTGAGCTGCTTTTACTTATTACTAGGTTCTAAAATTAACAGTAGCCCCTCAGAAAAAAGAGATGAGCTCAGGGGAAACCTCAGTTCAGAGTGCAGCAGTGATCAAAAAATAAAATGCTGGTCCGGTTCAAAAAAGAGAGAGAGGGAATAACACTGGAAATGCTGCAATGAATGACATTATATATTGTCATTCATTGCAATGACATTATATATTGCTGCAATGAATGACATTGCTCTGTATACTGGTTTCAGTTCTGATCATCCTATCTCAAAGATATAGAAATATAGTAAGTGTATAGCAAAGGGGAATGAAAATCACTAGAGGCCTAGAATGACCTGTTGTGAAAAGCGAACAAAAAGAGGTGAGAGGTTTAGAGTAGCAGCCGTGTTAGTCTGTATTCGCAAAAAGAACAGGAGGACTTGTGGCACCTTAGAGACTAACAAATTTATTTGAGCATAAGCTTTCGTGATGAAGTGAGCTGTAGCTCATGAAAGCGTATGCTCAAATAAATTTGTTAGCCTCTAAGGTGCCACAAGTCCTCCTTTTCTTTTTACAGTTTAGAGAGAAGACTAATACAAGTTTACAGAGGGATACAAAGTGAATGCTGAAGAAAAGTCAGTTTTGCACTTGGGGTTATCCTTTCCCATAATACAAGAACAAGGGGCCTGCCAGCAAAACTAGAAAGCAACAAACTTCAAGTTGATCTTTTTTTTATGCAAGGCATAAATAGCTTGTTACTACCACAAGATAACCTTGTGGCCAAGAGCTAAGAGTCAGAAAAGGATTTGACATTTATATGGGTAGTAAACACATCTGCTATTACATGTGCTGGGATAAAAATTTATAAGGGATCTCAGCACTCTTACTTTAAGACATAAATCAACCCTCAGTTGTCTGGGACTAAGAAGTGACTTTCTCCATACCCGTGTTGCACCATTATTGCCCATAATGGGAGAGTTCACACTCATCTTTGAAGCTTCTGGTGCTGGCTGCTCTCAAAGGTGGATGCTGGATTAGGTGGATGATTGTACTGGTCGGCTATGGCGAGTCCTGTGTTTCTCCTCTCTCTCTATTTTTGGGAACAAAAATAACAGAAGTTATTATGAACTCTTGAAAACCTAAATTGCAAAAGAAACCATATGTGCAAACACACTTGCTGATGGATGAAGTAAATAGGAAAGTGTGTAGTATGTGTGTGTGGCTTCAGGACCCTTTACTTTTGCATAACGCACAGACAAGAATGTGTTTCTCTTTACACACAGACTGAGTTAGCATGTTGCATTACTTGTAGCTTTTATATTTTTGGTTGTGTTGTTTCCATATGGTTTTAATGCTCTGGATGATTTGCAGGTTCTTGTGCCACATTTATAATTAAAGAGGAGGGGGAATGAAAAGTGGGCAGCCTGCTTCAGTTTGTATCTTGTCTTTATTCGTTGGTGGGATTGTATGTTGGGACATTTTACAACATCCCTAAAACCACTCTGAGCAAATAACCATTGCACTAAATCAGTGGCAAATAAGGCAAATCTGAAAACTGGATGCACGTGACATATTTAGCTTTCCCTCAGGGGTCATCTCCTGGGTCCTGACATACCTTTCCCACACAGGGTGATCTCCCGGCCACTTTCTGAGCCCTGAAAGTCCCCCACTGTGATCAGAGTTTCAGGGGGGCCACACTGAGATTGCTTAATCAGGGAAAACTGCAAGAATAGGGAAGACGATTCCCAAAACTGGTGGTTATTCTAATACTTAGCTTTACCAGCCAGCAACAAAACAGCTTCTACAATACCTTTCTGAAAAAACAACGAGGAGTCCTTGTGGCACCTTAGAGACTAACACATTTATTTGGGCATAAGCTTTCGTGGGCTATAACCCACTTCATCAGATGCATGGAGTGGAAAATACAGTAGGCAGGTATAAATATACAGCACATGAAAAGATGGGAGTTGCCTTACCAAGTGGGGGGTCAATACTAACAAGGCCAATTCAGTCAGGATGGATGTAGCCCATTCTCAACAGTTGAGAAGAAGGGGTGAATATCAAAAGAGGGAAATTAAGTTTTTGTAGTCACCCAGCCACTCCCAGTCTTTATTCAGGCTTAATTTGATGGTGTCAAGTTTGCAAATTAATTCCAGTTCTGCAGTTTCTCATTGGAGTCTGTTTTTTAAGTTTTTTTGTTGAAGAATGGCACTTTTAAGTCTGTTATTGAGTGTCCAGGGAGATTGAAGTGCTCTCCTACTGGTTTTTGAATATTACAATTCTTGATGTCTGATTTGTGTCCATTTATTCTTTTAAGTAGAGCCTGTCTGGTTTGGCCAATGTACATGGCATAGGGGCATTGCTGGCACATGATGGCATATATCACATTGGTAGATGTGCAGGTGAACGAGCCCCTGATGGTGTGGCTGATGTGGTTAGGTCCTATGATGGTGTCCCTTGAATAGATATGTGGACAGAGTTGGCAACTGGGTTTGTTGCAGGGATTGGTTAGTGGGTTAGCGTTTCTGTTGTGTGGTATGTAGCTGCTGGTGAGTATTTGCTTCAGGTTGGGAGGCTGTCTGTAAGCGAGGACTGGCTGTCTCCCAAGGTCTGTCAGAGTGAGGGATTGTCCTCCAGGATAGGTTGTAGATCCTTGATGATGCGCTGGAGAGGTTTTAGTTGGGGGCTATAGGTGATGGCTAGTGGCATTCTGTTAATTTCTTTGTTGGGCCTGTCCTGTAGTAGGTGACTTTTGGGTACCCTTCTGCTCTGTCAGTCTGTTTCTTCACTTTCCCAGGTGGGTATTGTAGTTTTAAGAATGCTTGAGAATGAAAGCTTATGTCCAAATAAATTTGTTAGTCTCTAAGACGCCACAAGGACTTCTCTCTGTTTTTGCTGATACAGACTAACATGGCTACCCCTCTGAATACCTTACTGATTACCCAGAAGCACCAAACTCAATTCCCTTAAAACAATCCAGTCTTGGGCTCCCACCCAGACAGCCAAATCAAATCTAATGAGGATTACTGAAAATCTTATTCACCGTGTAAAAAGTTCTACCAATCCCAAAGGATCAGACACATTGCCCACCAGGTCAATGAATATTTTAGATCTTATCCAAATACACGCTTACAGCCAATTCTTATGAACTAAACTAAGATTTATTTAAAAAGAAAACAGAGTGTAGGTTAAAATATCATTATACGTACTGGTATGAATAGAGTTCTTAGGTCAGAGATGGTGAGCTTTAGAATTGCAAAAGGTTCTCTCAGCATAAGTTCCATAGGTTATAGCCCAAGGTCCAATATCTGGGTGATCCTGACTGGGACCTCAGTCTTGCTACTCAAACTTCCCCTGAAGAAGCTTAAGCAGATATGAGATAACAGGATCAGGGCCTAAGAGTTCCTTTTATAATTCTCTTGCAGCCTCTTGACAGCAGGTGAATAATAGGTGAA